TTCAGGTTGGTTGCTTTCAGGTCTTTGGAATTAAGTGGTCTATGCTAGGCATTTAGGCAGTGGCTAGGCTCTTAGTTCTTGTGAAGTATTCCAGTTTTAGTTGTTATCATTTGTTGAGGTTCTAGGCCACTTTGTAAGTGTGCCTCTCAGTTTTATGCTTTCGGGGTCATTTGGGGGTTCCCCATGGATTGTACTTTGAACTTATTTGAGTTATATAGATCTTTCTATCGTAAAAAAACATATACTTAAATTATCTCGGGATGTTCCTTTTTATTTTTCTGAACATCGTTTTCTTTTAATTAGACCTAAGATACTGTTTTAGGTTTTTGAAAAAAACTTTATATCGTCGAATAGTGATTCAAATATTCAATCTAAATCACACATCGGCATAGATTGATATATGTAAATACTAAAATTATGCATTATTCAACCATATAAAATTTAAAGATAGCGGAAACGTAAATATGGTTCATCATGTATTATTACTTATTACAAAACATAAAAATGTCCTTTATTAGTCATCTGGGCTCGACCACCACCACTTTTGCTCATCCTGCACGCTCGACTTCATTACCTGAAATATCATAAATAACGAGACGTGTACCATGGTACTCCGTAGAAACCCAAATCTAATAGCAGTAATAATCATATCATAAGAACTGGAATATATGCATTTAACTGGAAGAAACTGGCATATATAAATAAAACTGAATTCTTACAGCTGTCAGACACATTGGTCGGTATCATGTGCACACTCCGATAGGATAATAATCATATTGTTATCCCACCGGAACCTGATTTAAGGACACATTGGCCCCTACACAGGCGATATATCGTTCGGACATAAATTGGTAGGTCATTACCCACTCATCGGGGGACATTTTCTTATGTACATACCTCTGTCGTGGTAATCGAGAATATAACATATGTAAATCTCAGTTCAGGGTTCCCACCTTTTCTGTTGTGTCGTGAAAAATGCTAAACTTCTCGATATATTGAGGCTTGACTCCTTAAGCTACATAAAATTTAATAAAATATGCTAAGTCTTATGCTCGAAAGACTTAATAAAATACTAAGAAGTTGTTATATGCTAGACTCGCTTTGACTCGGTTTTAAACTTATTTTAAATCCAGATTTTTTTTAAAGAAATACTCTAGTATTCTAATTCCAGAAATAAATTAACTGGTTTATACTGGACTGACTCGGTTCATAAAAAATACTTAAAGAAAATATTCCAGTACAAACTCAAACCGAAATAATGAACCGGATATCTCGAACCGACTGGTTAAACAGATCGATTGTTGGCTTAGACCGGCGGCTCACCATGAGTCGGTCAGTCGCGGTTGACACGAGTGCCTCCACTCGGTCACTAGTGACTCAAGTGTATCGGCTCGGTCATGCAAGTTGCAGCTGGGTGCTATCGTACGTACCGAACCACTGGCGCTAGCCATTCGTGCTCTTGGGTTTAGTACTAGCACCATGACACGGACACTAGCGCTAACGGGTGCTCTTGGCACTACCGGATTCCTTTGGGTACAGCGGGGCATATTGGCACGGGTGCCAACATGGTAAGGTGCTATCGGGTGTTACCGGGCACTACCCGTGGTCATTGATACGCTGCACGGGTGTTGACACAGCCGAACTCGTTATGCACACGGGAGCTGGCATGAGTTGGCGCAGGTGCTAACCATTGTTCAGAGACACCTCCCGGGAAGTTAACCTCTGAACACGGTACTGTCTGGCACTAGCGGACGCTAGGTGCATGGCAGCGGTCACGGTCGACCCCTCGCCGGCCGTCCGGCTACTTTTCCAGCGACACTTGACTTAACCCATAATTTTAAGATATAAGGAGTCTAAAAATATAATAAGCACTAGGATGACTTGACTTAATTTTAAAATGGTTTGGGAGCTAAAAATGAAGAACGTTCTGAGACTACTCGGAGTTTCGGGTCAGAAGATGTCGCGGGAGTTTGTGTCACTTTACTCTTTTTACATTAGGACTCAAGGCCGAATACTTTACATAATTTATCATGTTTTTAGGTACCAAGAGCTTGGCAAATACTCGCATGAACATACACTTGGCTCGGATGTCCAAAATAGCTTTAAAAATTGGATTCTAGTTTACCGAGTAAACAACTTCCAAATAAGCTGAAACTTTACCAACATATTCAACATGATAACTAATGATTTTATGTGTACTAAACTCACCTATGGCATGCATGGAAACATGACTTCCGAATTTAGGGCTTAATTAAATTAAAATAAAAAACCTTCATATCTCTCGTGCGTGCCTCGTTTTCTATACTTGGGACTCCTCAAAATCTCATTTAAGCTAGAAAAGGGATTGGAAAGGTGTTTGCCTTCACTAAATTCGAAAATGAACGAAGAATGGTGCTCTCGGTCTCTTCTTGGGTCTCTCTCAGCCAAAGTATTTCTCCGGTGAATTTTGCTTCCGTGAACACTGATTTGAGGTCTCCCATAGGTTGTCCTTAGCTCCTAAGTTCAGCCTTGCCCGATGAAATTTGAAAAGAAAAGTTTATTGCTCGTTGTGGACTCGTTGCTCGCGGTCGGGGTCGGAGGATGCTATCCGGAATTATGGTCGGATTTGTTGATGGACGGATCCGATCAATAGTTAAGATAAAATATATTGAGAATAAAAAAGTGGAATAATAAAGGAATACTGTGAAAAATGGAATTTATTACATAATTACGAGGTCGACCTCTGTAAACAAGGTCAGCACTTTTGTTACACTTGGAATTCTTACAGGACATTACAGATTGTAGAGAGAGAAAAAGTAGAGTTAAGGCAGTTAGTTGAGATTCAACAACCCTAAAATAAATGAGAGGGTCTTCTATTTATAGTGGTCATTAATATGACACTGTTCCTCCACTATTCACGTTGTCTCATCGTACAGTAGCTCAGAGGGACAGGCCGGCGTCTGTCTGACAGATTGGGCGTGACCATTTTAATGTTGGTATGGGTTGTATTTAATGCGGACAAGCTCTTTGTCCGGGCTAAATATTGTAGGGCTGCAGGCTAGACTGACACATCACATCGGCAATCATTAGTTGACAAGTGGCATTATAATATTACTTTTCAGGTCCTTAGCTCGTGCGTAGGCCGACTTGACGGAGACCCCAGACCGGACTTCGACTGCTAGTTCATCCTCCGGCCTCTGGGATTCTATTCTTCTATTCGGTACCCTTCTAGATCGACATCATAACGAGGTGGTCAAGGTGCCAACCTCGAAAGTGATGTAGAATGTCTTCTCCATTGACTCTGGTCCTCAGTCAGCTCGGCACTCCCGTGGTCATTCAGAGATCGGCATAGAAGATCAGGTCGTCCTCGTCCGGTTCCGTGTCCCCGAACTGGAATTTTTGTTTGTGTCCAACTCGAATATCAACAGGATTTTTCTGAGCTTTGATGAAAATTTTCTAAGTATTGAAAGTCCTCTGGCCCTTCTTCAGACGTGGGGTTATAATAAAGAGGATAGCCCCATCAATTTGCCTTAAAATAATGAAAGTTGGACTTTTCTTCCTCCTCTCATGCCTTTCCCTTGGTTGTTGTGCCATGAAAGAATGAAGAGCTGATTTATCCACCTATTATCTGAACATAAATCGGTCACACTCCTATTTGACCATAAAAATAAGATGAAAACTCGTTGGGCCGTGCGTTGGGTTGTGCTGGCAGACCTAGAGCTTGGCTGCGCTATGGGCTGCTGCAGGCTCATTATGGACCGCGTGTTGAGGTAGGGTGCAACGGTTGTTGGGACATTGGTTGAGGTCTGCCAACCAACTTAAGGTATTGGACCCATGTTTCATAATATGTTGGGTCGAGTGAGGTGCGAGGGATACATGAGCTGCTCGCGGCTACTGGGCCGTGTGAGTGGCTGGCGCGCTTGGGCTGCTCACGGCTGCTAGACCGCGTGGGACTTCTCGAGCCACTCGTGCAGGATTTTGTTTGCGAAAATGGTTTTTGGCTAAGTAGGGTTGCTAGTGTACTAGGACCGTGCATGAATGTTGGGCCTTGTTAGGTTTTTCTTCGGGCCGTGCTGGTTGTGCTAGTGCTTGGGCTACGCATCGGCGCTCGGCCTTGCCTTGGGCCTAGTTCGACTCGGCTCGGGTCGAAACTCAATTTTCTTTAATTGTTGGAATACACTTGGACTCGATCCTCATCACGACTCCTACTATCTATTCTCGGCTTATGAAAGAAATGAACAGAGACTTGAACTAAAAAAATTTTCAGCTTTTAGATAAAAACTCATCCGAATATTTCCAAGTTTAAACTCGAACTGGGAGTTTATGATTTGAATATCTTACGCTCGGAAGCTGAAGTCGAGCTTTTATTAATAGATTAGCTCACTCTCGGAAGCTAAACACCGTTTTACTTATTAATAAGATACTGGGGTATTACATGCTTCCAGTAAATTTCTTCAGATTGGTTGGCTGCACTTATCTCCCTCTGCAGGTTATCCCATTCCTCCCAGTTCCT